CTCTCCTTCTTCCACCTGACTCCTCACCCACACTCCTGCCTCTGAGCAGGCTCAAACACTTTTAGGGGTATCTGGCCCCTTGCCAACCTCTTGTTGCGGATTGGCTAGGACCTCCCAAGAGTGCAGCCAGCAACTCATCAGATCCACCCACTACCTCTAAGGCCTTCCTCCAAAAGCCCCAGAGCAGGGGGAAATTCCAGAGGGTCTGGCCTGCAGAGCCTCTCAGCCCTGACTACAATTTGACTTCTATCTGGCTACTACACCTAGGCTTCTGCTCAGCCCCTGTCTAACCATTGGAGTCTAGCTCCCCCTAGATAAACTGGGCGGGTGTTACACAAGCATTACTGCCTGTCTAAAAGTGCCCTTAGTTTTCCTAGAATGTGAAAAGATTAGAATCCCTGTCAGGTTTATATTGCTCCAGAACAACATTCTCAAAGAGGGGCAGGGAATTCTAGACTTGCATGTGTAGTCATGTGTGACAACTCTGATGAGATTGCTACCACACAGCAAGTGTTTCCTTGATGGGCACCCAACATGCGCTCAAACCATAGAAATACAAAAAGGAGCACCAGACCAAAACTGGATAAAACAGTCTGAGATCATTTTAATTGTTGGTAAAAAAAAAAAAAAATCCAACACGTTTTGGGGGGCAACACTCCTTCATCAGAGTTCAACAAAGGGTAACACTTAGATGAATTAAAAAGATAGTGATTTCACAGATCCATATTAGAAGCAGTACTGAACTCTTCACATGGCTAAACAACTTTACAGCAGTTGCTGAGCAGTAATGATGGGCCGAACACCCCCTTGTTTGGTTTGTGGTCGAACATTCAAAGCTAATGAAAGTTTGGCCATGAACTTCGAACATAATGTAAGTCTATGGGACTTGAGCTTCAAAAGTGTCCATCTTGAAGGCTTATATGCAAGTTATTGGCCATAAAAGGGGTATGGGGACACGGGTACTGCCCTGAGGGACATGAATCAGTGAATTTCTTTTCCAAAAAGTACTGTTTTAAAGGGGCAGACATTTTTCATTGCTTAAAGTAAAAAAGAAAATGAAAAATTCCTTTAAATATCATGCCTGGGGGGTCCCTTTAAAGTACCTGCAAAGTTGCACATCTGTACAATGTACAGTGCCTTGAAAAAGTATTCATACCCCTTGAAATTCTCCACATTTTGTCATGCTACAACCAAAAATGTAAATGTATTGTAAGGGATTTTATGTGATAGACCAACACAAAATGGCACATAATTGTGAAGTGGAAGGAAAATGATAAATGGTTTACAGCAGTTGCTGAGCAGTAATGATGGGCCGAACACCCCCTTGTTTGGTTTGTGGTCGAACATTCAAAGCTAATGAAAGTTTGGCCATGAACTTCGAACATAATGCAAGTCTATGGGACTTGAGCTTCAAAAGTGTCCATCTTGAAGGCTTATATGCAAGTTATTGGCCATAAAAGGGGTATGGGGACACGGGTACTGCCCTGAGGGACATGAATCAGTGAATTTCTTTTCCAAAAAGTACTGTTTTAAAGGGGCAGACATTTTTCATTGCTTAAAGTAAAAAAAGAAAATGAAAAATTCCTTTAAATATCATGCCTGGGGGGTCCCTTTAAAGTACCTGCAAAGTTGCACATCTGTACAATGTACAGTGCCTTGAAAAAGTATTCATACCCCTTGAAATTCTCCACATTTTGTCATGCTACAACCAAAAATGTAAATGTATTGTAAGGGATTTTTTTATGTGATAGACCAACACAAAATGGCACATAATTGTGAAGTGGAAGGAAAATGATAAATGGTTTACAGCAGTTGCTGAGCAGTAATGATGGGCCGAACAACCCCTTGTTTGGTTTGTGGTCGAACATTCAAAGCTAATGAAAGTTTGGCCATGAACTTCGAACATAATGCAAGTCTATGGGACTTGAGCTTCAAAAGTGTCCATCTTGAAGGCTTATATGCAAGTTATTGGCCATAAAAGGGGTATGGGGACACGGGTACTGCCCTGAGGGACATGAATCAGTGAATTTTTTTTCCAAAAAGTACTGTTTTAAAGGGGCAGACATTTTTCATTGCTTAAAGTAAAAAAGAAAATGAAAAATTCCTTTAAATATCATGCCTGGGGGGTCCCTTTAAAGTACCTGCAAAGTTGCACATCTGTACAATGTACAGTGCCTTGAAAAAGTATTCATACCCCTTGAAATTCTCCACATTTTGTCATGCTACAACCAAAAATGTAAATACATTGTAAGGGATTTTATGTGATAGACCAACACAAAATGGCACATAATTGTGAAGTGGAAGGAAAATGATAAATGGTTTTAAATTTTTTTTACAAATAAATATGTGAAAAGTGTGTTGTGCATTTGTATTCAGCCCCCCGGAGTCAATACTTTGTTGAACCACTTTTTGCTGCAATTCCAGCTGCAAGTCTTTTTGGGGATGTCTCTACCAGCTTTGCACATTTAGAGAGGGACATTTCTGCCCATTCTTCTGTGCAAAATAGCTCAAGCTCTGTCAGCTTGGATGGAGAGCGTCTGTAAACAGCAATTGTCAAGTCTTGCCACAGATTCTCAATTGCATTTAGGTCTGGACTATGACTGGGCCATTCTACCACATGAAGATTCTTTGATCTAAACCATTCCATTGTAGCTCTGGCTGGATGTTTCGGGTTGTTGTCCTGCTGGAAGGTGAATCTCCGCACCAGACTCAAGTCTTTTGCAGACTCTAACAGGTTTTCTTCTAAGATTGCCCTGTATTTGGCTACATCCATCTTCCATCAACTTTGACCAGCTTCCCTGTCACTGCTGAAGAAAAGCATCCCCACAACATGATGCTACCACCACCATGTTTCACGGTGGGGATGGTGTGTTCAGGGTGATGTGCAGTGTTCGTTTTCTGCCACATGTTTTGCTTTTAGGCCAAAAAGTTCAATTTTGGTCTCATCTGACCAGAGCACCTTCTTCCACATGTTTGCTGTGTCCCCCACATGGCTTCCTGCAAACTGCAAATGCTTATAGCTTTCTTCCAACAATGGCTTTCTTCTTGCCACTCTTCCAAGGACAGATTTGTGGAGTGCACGACTAATAGTTGTCCTGTGGACAGATTCTCCCACCTGAGCTGTGGATCTCTGCAGCTCCCCCAGAGTTACCATGGGCCTCTTGCCGCGTCTCTGATTAATGCTCTCCTTGCCCGGCCTGTCATTTTAGGTTGACGGGCAGTCTTGGTAGGTTTGCAGCTCTGCCATACTCTTTCCATTTTTAGATGATGATGTGAACAGTGCTGAATGATGAGATGTTCAAAGCTTGGGATATTTTTTTATAACCTAACCCTGCTTTAAACTTCTCCACAGCTTTATCCCTGACCTGTATAGTGTGTCCCTAGGCCTTCATGATGCTGTTTATTCACTAATGTTCTCTAACAAGCCTCTGAGTATTTCACAGAACAGCTGTATTTATACTGAGATTAAATTACACACAGGTGGACTCTATTTACTAAATAGGTGACTTCTGAAGGCAATTGGTTCCACTAGATTTTAGTTAGGGGTATCAGAGTAAAGGGGGCTGAATACAAATGCACGCATACATTTCAGATATTTATTTGTAAAAATTTTTTAAAACCATTTATAGTTTTCCTTCCACTTCACATTTATATGCCACTTTGTGTTGGTCTATCACATAAAATCCCAATAAAATACATTTTATGTTTTTGGTTGTAGCATGCCAAAATGTGGAAAATTTCAAGTGAAAATTTTTCAAGGCATTGTATAGAACCTGCTGCAGCAGGACTGACACTTTTTTTTTTTTTTTTAAATTAAATTTTTATTGAAAAAAAAAAAAAAATTAAAAATATTAAAAACCAGAGTGGGGTCCACCCCCCCAATCCATACCAGACCCTTTAGATCTGGTAGGAAGGTTAGGAGGGACCCACATTTTTTTTCTTTTTTTACAAAAGTGTGTGGGGTTCCCCCTAAAAGCCATACCAGTCCCTTTAGGCCTGGTAGGATGTTAAGAGGAGCCTCACCTCCCAAAATGGGGGGAAAAAGTACATGGGGTTTCCCCTAAAAGCCATACTAGGCCCTTTAGACCTGGTAGGACTTTTAATGGGAACCACACCCCCCAAAATTGGGGGGGAATCGTTGGCTTCCCCCCCAAAGCACCTTGTCCCCATGTTGATGGGGACAAGGGCCTCTTCCCCACAACCCTGGGCATTGGTTTTGGGGGTCTGCGGGGGGTGACTTATTGGAATCTGGAAGCCCCCGAACACACAAACGGCCAATGTTTGAGTCAAACTTACGTTCCACTGGAACATCAAGCCCATCACTATGTAACGTGTATTACCACTTTTGCAGCCAAATTGGGGACAACATATACTTTATATTAGTTGCATGTTCTCAAGGTCAGGGAAAGCTCCCCTTAACAGGGGTTCTCATTGGAATATTTCCCCCAGCTCTTGTTCTGGGGAATTTTGGATTTGCCCTTACTTTCTTTCTTTGCATTATTGGTCACCAATACAAAAAGAGAAGTAAATCCAACAGGGACACGGACAGCAAAAAAAAGGAACCTCTTCTGGAATTCCCGCTTTTTTTTCTTTTTTACTGCGGGCGGGTACACGTACGTGATCCAGCATTTCCAGGTATAGGACATGTACATGCGCCCCCTGCCCGATCTGTGCTGTGATTCAGGTATAGCACAAATCAGGTGGGGGGGGCGTTGCGTGTTGTTATTCGCTACAGCACAAGCCGATCAGCAGGTCCCAGACAATGATTAATGCCCGGGACCTGCTGATCGGCTTAGCAAATTACAGTAGAGAGCCCTGTGTTTACTAACAACACAGGGCTCTCTAACCACATCCCGACTGCCCTATAGCAGATATACTGCTACAGGGCAGCAGGGGTGCGCAAAATCATGTGTATATACGTGATTTTGTATTTCCAGCTAAGGGGCTCGGCTGTCAATCACTGGGTCCCGGCCGGTGATTACCCGCTGGCACCCAGTGATTACCGAGGATCTCCGATGGGGAGGAGGACTGCTTTGTTTACTAACAGTCCTCCTCCCTGTCGGCTTGGGAACACAGTGAAGCACCAACACAGCGGGGCTACAGTGAAGCACCAACACATCGCCCGCCAGTAAAACACTCGCAGCACACAGTTAACCCTTTGATTGCCCTTCATGTTAACCCCTTCCTGCCCAGTGCCATTAGTACAGTGTCAGTACTTTTTTTAAGCACTGATCACTGTATTGGTGTCACTGGGGATGTCAGTGACACCATATCAGTTCCCCCCACTGTCAGAATGCCTGCCGCAGTCCCGCAGTCCTGCTATCCTGATCGCTGCGATTACTAGTAACAAAAAAAAAAAGTCCAGTAAATGATATAACTTTCACGTAAACCAATACATTTACATGTATTGGGATTTTTTTTTAGCAAAGACATGGAGCAGAATACATTTTGGCCTAAATTTATGATGAAATTTGATTTTTATATTTTTTTTTACTGGACATGTTTAATAGCAAAAAGTCAAAATTTTTATTTTTTTTTTCAAAATTGTCGGTCTTTTTTTTTTATAGCGCAAAATATAAAAACCGCACAGGCGATCACATACCATTGGAAGAAAGCTCAATTTGTGGGAAAAAAGACGTAAATGTCATTTGGGTGCAGCGTTGCATGACCACGCAATTGTCAGGTAAAATAACGCAGCGCTGTAATGCAAAAAATGGCCTAGTCAGGAAGGGGAGAAAATACTCTGGAGGGCAAGTGGTTAAAGTACCGTATTTTCAACTTATAAGACGACTTTTTAACCCATGAAAATCTTCTCAAAAGTCGGGGGTCGTCTTATACACCGGTATAAGGCGTGCTGACACTTCCAAGCCGGTGTCAGGGTGGCACTTTTTAGGGGGGGGCGGCGTGCTGCCGCCCCCCCTTCCAACGGAAGGGACACTAAGTACTGGGACAGGCAGGGGGCTGCTGTTTCTTACCTGGCTCCGGTCCCAGTCCCACGACGATCCAGTCCAGGAAGCGTGGCTGCTCCTTCATTCAGTTCGGCTGCTCAATGTTCGGCTGCTCCACTGATACCAATGATGGGGCATGATCCCTCCCACTGATACCAATGATGGGGTGCTATTCCTCCCACTGACACCAATGATGGGGTGCTATTCCTCCCATTGACACCAATGAGGGGGCACGATTCCTTGCTCTGACACCAAAGATGGGGCACTATTACTCCCACTGACACTGATGGAGCACTATTCCTCCCACTGACACTAATGATGGGACACTATTCCTCACACACTGATACTAATGATGGGGCACCATCATTAATGTTAGTGGGAGGAATAGTGTCCCATCATTGGTGTCAGTGGGAGGAATAGTGCCCCATCATTGGTGTCAGAGTGAGGAATAGTGCCCCATCATTGGTGTCAGTGGGAGGAATAACACCCCATCATTGGAATACCATACTGAAATACCATACCATATTGAAATCAAATCTGATGTTTTTTAATTTTTATTTGGTGTGCGTTGGAAGAGGGGTAGTCTTATACGGCGAGTATAGCCCAAACCCTATATTTTAACAGGAAAAGTAGGGGGTCATCTTATTCGCCCAGTCGCCAGAAAATACGGTAAATGTAATTTAATGTATTAAGTATAATTAAGGATAAGTAAAAATATAATTTGGACTTGCTGGGTGGTAAATGGAGAATCTGACTCATTTAAGGTCCTGGCAGGCCGTTAAATTGGAACTACACAGGATCTAAGCACCACAAACCAAAAATGCCATTTATTTCATTTTTAATGTTCAAAGCAAACTCCACCATCCATCCATGTCTCATAATTTATTTTGCTGCAATTAGAACCCCCCTAGTGTTTCTGGCCATGGCCATCTTAAATAAGGGCAGATGACTCATTTGGCATTTACTTCCTGGAATACAGCACAGAAGAAACCCCTCCAAGGTCTTATTTTAGTGCCACCTTGGCCTGTCTGGCACACTAAGGTTTGACTGAAGGCTTATTGTGTCCCTTCTTGCACTAATTTTGAACCTTCCTTTCCCCTAATAAATTCCTTTTCTTCTCCTATCCCCATTTTCCCTCTTTCCCTTTCCTGGTTTGAATTCCTTATTGTGACACAATGTGATTAATATTGTTCTAATTTGTAAATGCACATAATTAAAACTGAAATATTTGAACTAAATTGTATGTAAACCCTAAAGTCGGCCATAGATGGTTTGAATCTCGTCTGGTTCAGAAGGTACCAGCGGAGATTCAAACCATCTATGTACAGGCTGATTTTACCCAATTTGATTGTTGCACGGCTTGGGTACAACCAGCCTGTTGGGTTTTTCTTGCAATTTTTGAAGGTTATAGCTGATAACAATAAACAGCCAAGATCACGCTTCCTACAAAACCAAATTTAAATGTGGAGGTGCTCGTTGGCAAGCTGAAAAAGCCTGAAAACATATAAACAAACATATAAAACATATGAGCAAAGAATATTGTGCTTCCTAAATCCCTTCCAATTATATTAAAAATCAGTTACCAACACAAGCTATAAGCAATATATTATATAAACACAAATAATAAAGTGCATCCATATCACAAACATTCAATACCTATATAAATTGTTATTTATAAGTAATACCAATATAAACAATTTACATAACCGATCTTATCTCTAAATATCACCAAAACCGTACTCTCTGCTCCTCGCAAGACCTCCTACTCTCTAGCTGCCTTATCTCCTCCTCCCATGCTCGTCTCCAGACTTTTCCAGGGCGTCACCCATTCTCTGGAACTCCCTACCCCAATCTATCAGACTATTCGCCTACTATACTTACTTTTAGGCGATCACTGAAAACCTATCTCTTCAGGGAAGCCTATCCTGCCCTCAGCTAATACTGGAATCCTCTACTCTTCCAACCACTCCATCCCCCACAGTTATTACCTATTGTACAATTCACCCTCCCTTCTAGATTGTAAGCTCCAAGGAGCAGGGCCCTCAAATCCCTCTTGTATTGAACTGTATTGCCACTGTATTGTCTCCCACTATAATGTAAAGCGCTGAGCAAACCGTTGGCGCTATATAAATCCTGTGTAATAATAATAATAATAATAATAAAAAAAAAACAAAAGTCCATTTTTAAAGTGCTTTGTATCCAACTTCCATATTTCCAGTGTGCAAAATAAAGACACCCAAGAAATAAGTTCTCTTCCTCTCTTCCCATGGACATCACACCGCACTCAACAGGAATCCATGACTTTTTTCAAAGAAGGTCATGCACGCTTGAAATGGATCTTTTCCTCCCATTCGGCCAGCTTCCATATATGGACCACATCAGATAATGACAAGAATCTTAAGCAGCAAAGACTCTAAATGAAGAACTCTCCCTCACAGAGAGAAAGAGATAGAGGATCTCCTCATAGTGTAGTAAATGTTATTTATTTTTTTAAAAAAAGCTTTAAAATTGCACATACATCTAGTAAAATCATTCAAACACGTATTGTCAAACATGTAAGGAAACAGGAATCCAGTTTGCGTTCCACCTGCCAGATGAGACGTATTTTGGATGCTCCAACCAACGCGTTTCGTCAGCAATGTCACCAGAGGTCCCCAACCACAGGTTGCAGGAAAGAAAATTGCATCATCTATGGCTGGCTTAAATCTAACTATTAGTATGTTTAGCATCATGTCTCACTAAACACATTTTCCAGGCAAATAACTTTTGGTGAACATGTTGCGAAGTGTCCAACCTGGAGATCTTGGCAATAACAACATTTCCCACTGCAGTCAGACGATGCTAAGCCAATGCCTTGGAATTAGGAGCAGCGTTCTTGTTTATGGTCGCTGGCTTTGACTTTTGTTTAAGGACACATCATGGAGGACTCCTGGCACATTATGCAAAATAATACGACAGTTACATTGGAATTGGTACAGCAAAGAGAATCGAAATAATGCAATATCCTTTAACAGATAACTAACTGAGGATCAGACAAAAGTCCTGAACATTTTGCATGGTATGTTTTATTGTTATCCATCAAAACGCCCACATACAGCATTTCATATTCTGTCCTTTTTGTTACCGTCATGCATTGTGTGAGTGATTCAGAGCGAACGTTTTCAGAATTAAATTGGCTACCAGGGTTGGAATGTTGAAGGACATTTCAACTTTAAGTTGTTTTTCATCAAGTATGTAACCTTCACCTCTCTGGTAAATGAAACACAGTAGGGCTTGTACCAGAGACTACAACAGCTCATGAGAACTGAGATCTAACCTCCCTGTAAGAGTCCAGGTGTAACACCTAGAGAAATCTGTATAATGCCGGTATATTGGTTTTGACACAAGGAGGCTTAGTTAGGATTACTGTGTTGCAGCTGAAGACTAATGAAATCTGTTTTTTTCTAATGCTAAATCTGCTCATAGACATAAGATGGCAGTTAAACATGCTGGCAGGTTCAACTTCTAAAAGATCTTTTTTACAAGATCTTGATATAAACAAGCACATTCAGATTAGCCAAATGACAACCTATGGAGGTGGTAAAGGGAGAACTGCTGAACGCCTGTAAGGATCCACTGCCCTCTGTCAGTCGCTAGTATCACACTGAAATATAAAATTGTGTTTGTCACTTCCTGACTCAAGAGTTTTTGGGAAAAGACCCTGGAAGGAGGGAAGAAGTGAAGGTCTCTGCCATATGTCCTGTACATGTTACTAATATCAGATTAGAAGAGATGATTATTGCCAGATAACTAGAACTGTGTTCCAGACTGGTTGGGTAATGGCTGGAGGATCCCCTCGTTACCCCATATCTTGTCTTCAGGTCTCTAACACAAACACAAATGCTGCATCATCCTCAGAGACACCTCTAAAAAGACTTTGCTGCAACATTCATCTGGAGGCAACTCTCTAAGCTCTCAAGGGGGTAACGATACATCTATAAATAACTATATATACCCGGGTATATGTGCAGAATTCCACCAGGACTATTGGGCCCTTGGCTGATAAAATTGGATTTATGTACTGGTATTAACACTTTCTTATATAAAGTTTATATTATTTCTATATTGATATGCATCTGTATGCTTATGCTTAATGTTATATGCTGATTGCAGTAGTTATTCTGCACCCAATTACATCTCCTCCTACCCACCTCCAAGCGCCATCCCTTGGTTTCACCCCCTAACCACCTCCAAGTACAGTCCCTTGGTTCCACGCCCTACCCACCTCCAAGCATCGTTCCTTGGTTTCACCCCCTACCCACCTCCAAGCACAGTCCTTTGGTTCCACGCCCTACCCACCTCCAAGCACAGTCCCTTGGTTACACCCCTACCCACCTGGTCCCTTGGTTCCACCCCCTACCCACCTCCAAGCACCCTACACCCACCTCAAGTAAGTTACACCCCCTACCCACCTCCAAGCACCGTCCCTTGGT